CCTACTTACGAAAACCATCCCCTTGCACAGCTGATAAGAAATATTAATTTCCATTATTGTCTTGCGTGTAATTCATTTCAATATACAGTACATCCTTACCAAGTGTTGCAAGGGCTTGCAGCCACCCCCTCTGACCTTTGTTAAGGGCCACAGGGTAAGCTGTGCCCTAACACTATACCCACCTAACCCAACCCACATCCTACCCTCTCACTCCCTTCTTAACCACACCCAGCACCTCTCTCCCCACTACTTTGTTTTTGTACTCAATAACCCCACCCTCCTGTTCACCCCTTTCATCTCATCTCCCTCACCTACAATCACCACTACCCTCATCTCTCACTCACAAGCACCTCTACCCTCCTCCCTCACCACTAACTCATATTATACACCATCCTCCCACCCGTGACTAATGTTTCTATCCGACACCACACATCCCTGCATATGCCACCACACGCCGCGCATACCTACTTAAGAATAGTTATGTAGGTATGTAAATATGGGGGAGTGAGACTGGCCGAGGTAGCGGGTCCATCCAGCAGGTTGACAACCGCGCCTCAGGTGCGGCAGCAGGTAACTCGGCCACAGGAAGAGTCGTGACTAACCTTGGTTAATGACGCTCCTATCTTGCCCAAACCTCCTTGTTTGGTTATCGTGTTCCCCACTCTCCGCCCTCGGGTTATGGGATTACAATACTCAAATTAACCACGTACAACCGTCTTTTTTTTCAGGACTAATTATTACATTTTCAATAAAAACAACATACATACATTATGTTTATATATATATATATATATATATATATATATATATATATATCGTTGGGTATATAAATGTGTATATAGGGAAGGGTATATAAACGCCTTTTCGGCTCAATTCGCCTTCATCAAAGCAAAATAAAATGAAGAAAAACTGTTGTAAAAATTGATATTTATACTTTTAATGTTTTCCGTTGAGCGTGCCATTGTGATTTCTGAGGTGAACGCTTTATTAAAAGGAGATTTGCAGACATTGAAAAGTGATATTAACTTCTGAAGTATGATGTCAGGCTACTTACTTCACCGACAAAACGCGGCTACAGTTCTTATTAAAAACAATCGTATTTGGGGAACACTGCCAAAAGCCTTGCTGGATTAATACAAAAATAGTAATGTTTGACTCTACTATAATATATACAAATATAGCATGTATGTACAAATATAGCATATTTGTACAAATATGTACAAATATAGCTATTTGTATAACTTAATATATAAGTTATACAAATAGCTAAGCAACTATGTTTGACTCAGTTGCTTAGCTATTTGTATAACTATCTTATAACTATTAGTGTAAATTTGAAAGTTATGAAAGCCTTGTGGTATTTATTTATAAAAGCCTTGCAGTCATTAAATTATATTTTTCAACATGATTATATATTTTGGCTCTATTAACACTTCAATTAAATTCCCCACAATTGATGTTAAATTAATTAACACTGACAAATGTGTCTTGATAATGTCAGTGACGCTCTGGACTCTGCCCCTCTCATTTAGACCGTTCACAACATCACTAACATGATATATTAAATTCACCAAACCTAACCTAACCTAGGACCCACGAATAGAAAACGGGACATCGCGTCAATTTTGAGAGCTGCTATGATTATTTAGTATATCAGTTCCTGGTCTTAGGAGATTTTTACGTCAAAATGCAACGAACTATTCGGTAGTTCAAACTCTCACAAGTCAAGCCTGGCCTCAGACCGGGCTTTGGGAGTAGAATAACTCCCAGAACCCCCATCAAGCAGGTAGGACAGTTAGCTGGACTATGCTATACTGCTAGGATAATTCCAGTGTTGCTTGATTTATAAACTACTTAAATGGCTGTAGAGCTATTCTTTATTTTTTATTTCAAACTAATACCTCTTGAGGGCCTTGTTATTTGTCCAGTTTAAATTGGTATATTTGTTGGCTACTGGCTGAGGACTGTGTACTCTAATTTATTACTATTTTTAAAGACGTTATTAATTTTATGAACTCTGGTTTAAATACCATGAGGTAGTTATCTTATCTTAAGGTTACCTTGAAATGATTTCAGGACTTAAGCGTCCCAGCGGCCCGGTCCTCGATCAGGCCTCCTTTTCGTTACACATCCCCAGGAAGCAGCCCGTAGCAGCTTTCTAACTCGGATACCTATTTACTGCTAGGTGAACAGGGCATCAAGGTGGAAGAAACTCTGCCCATTTGTTTCCGCCTCCACCGGGGATCGAACCCGGAAGCTCAGGACTACGAATCCGAAGTACTGTCCACTCAGCTGTCAGGCCCCGTAACTTCCTTCGTGGAAAAGACGATAGTGGTACACCTTGAGACTGACGATCGACTCTTAGGGCTGGTGTTACGGACCCGAGCCCGACGTCCGAGCACGGAGCAGTGACGACCGTGCCATCTATGGGTCAGCTCCCGAAACCCCCTCCAAATGGACGACGACACCTTGTGAGGACGAGGTGTACTGGCCACGAGGGCCAGTTTCCAGTCCTGTTCAGCTCACAACACAGCCGCCGCTGACCTCTGGTGAGGTGGTGCTCAGACAACAACGCCATCTATGGAGTGGATAGGTGGGCGTTTGGGTCTGAGCCTGTAAGTGAGGTGCTTTAGTGTATCCCTGTTATTGATGACGTGTCTGCTTACAGAGTCGACCTGGGACTGCTGTAAGGGAAGTTGAGTCAGTCTACCCAAGGCAGCCGTCTCGACACCAAGTGTTTTGCAGCAGCAGCAGCTGTGAGTCGCCTCCCGGATGAACACTGTGGTGTTACCCTGCCTGTGAAGCGGCAGTTGAAGGATTGTCATACCCGGGACTGGCTGGTGGAGACGCTTAACCACTGGGGTATTGCGGAAAGGAGAGTGATCTGTGGTATCACACGAGGCTCCTGACTAGGGCGCTACCCTAGTATCGCTCGTGGAGTGGCCTAACCAGCGTTGCTGATTCGGAACCTGCCAGCCATCTGCTGGACTTGTGGTTGACGGCCTCCACGGCGGTGCCCCCAGTGGAAGTGTGTTTTGGCTGACCTGTGGCCGGGGTAGACTCAGCTTCTCGAAGGATTCGTCGTGAGGCCACGAGAGCACCGAGAGCTTGGCACCGAGAGGATCCAAGGTCTTCAGAAGAAGACGACAGTGTATTATAGTGTTTATAACCCCCCCCCCCCCCGTGTAATCCTTTATATATATTTATTGGTGACGGTGATCATTATATTAAGTTTTTAACTTTATTTCCCTTCCCCTTTTAATTTACTTGCGTTACGGATCACATCCCTTGAAAGCCACTACTGGCTTGGGGCCGGATACCCTTCCTCTAGCAACATCAGAGTAAGAACCCAGTTGCGACCCGAGAGGGCCGTAACAGCTGGTTGCCAGTCGTTTGATTTGGTGGTGGTGCTCTGATGCATGATGATTCAACAGAGGTCCTGCCACCGCAAAACTGACGACTGAATAATATACAAACGCAGTGGCCTATATTAAGAAACACGAAGCTTCCGAATGTCACAGAGACACGTATTAAACATAGCCTCCCATGTTGGTTATAAACTTGGTTCGCAGACTAAATATAAATAGTTCAACCATTATCTCTTGACACGACCCATGTTTACTAGTTCCCCACCCCAACCCCTTCCTCTCAACACGTACATGGCAAAAACAACTTAGATACCGAGCTTATCTAATAACACAACTACTGGTACTGATCCACTTTCGACACCAATCAATATAGAATAGTTGTAAGGCTATTTTCCACCTACATTTATTTATTTATATTTATTTATTTATATACAGTATATACAAGAGTTCTTATATTCCTGTACAGCCACTAGCACGCATAGCGTTTCAGGCAGGTCCTGAATCCTATGTTCCCTGGAATACGACTCGCCAAATCGTTGTTACAACCAGGTACCCACTTTACTGTTGGGTTAACAGAGGCTACAGTTAAGGATTGGCGCCCAGTAAATCCTCCCCGGCCAGGATATGAACCCAGGAATAATCGCTTGCGAAACGCCAGGCGAGTGTCTTACCACAATACCACCTCGGGGACTATATTAAACTGTTGCTGTATTGCAACTGCAGTCATACATGTAAAATGTGTTGACAACTTACTAAAGCTAATTATAAATATTTCGGCCTAATAATGTGCAGACCACGAGCAAGCTTGGTGACACGTGAACAGCTTCGAATCTGAAATTGAAACATTCGTGAAGAACCTAGACCCAGTGACCAGAATTATGGGTTCTCAGGAGTTCAATGTGCTGTGAGGGACCTGGTGAACACCGTGGAGTGAGGGGGGCCTGGTGAACACCGTGGAGTGAGGGGGGGCCTGGTGAACACCGTGGAGTGAGGGGGGGCCTGGTGAACACCGTGGAGTGAGGGGGGGCCTGGTGAACACCGTGTAGTGAGGGGGGGCGCCTGGTGAACACCGTGGAGTGAGGGGGGGCCTGGTGAACACCGTGGAGTGAGGGGGGGCCTGGTGAACACCGTGGAGTGAGGGGGGGGCCTGGTGAACACCGTGGAGTGAGGGGGGGCCTGGTGAACACCGTGGAGTGAGGGGGGGGTCTGGTGAACACCGTGGAGTGAGGGGGGGGGTCTGGTGAACACCGTGGAGTGAGGGGGGGTCTGGTGAACACCGTGGAGTGAGGGGGGGGTCTGGTGAACACCGTGGAGTGAGGGGGGGCCTGGTGAACACCGTGGAGTGAGGGAGGGGGCCTGGTGAACACCGTGGAGTGAGGGAGGGGGCCTGGTGAACACTGTAGAGTGAGGGAGGGGGTCTGGTGAACACCACAGCGAGGGGCCTGGTGAACACCACAGCGAGGGGCCTGGTGAACACCACAGCGAGGAGCCTGGTGAACACCACAGCGAGGAGCCTGGTGAACACCACAGCGAGGAGCCTGGTGAACACCACAGCGAGGGGCCTGGTGAACACCACAGCGAGGGGCCTGGTGAACACCAAGCCAGACTGCCAGCAGACCTAACGGTACTCACATCCTCGGAGGGAATATCGTAGCATTCGGCGATCTTCTGGTAAAGTTCCTTGACATTTGTGAACCCGGAGATGATGCCAGTGGGGGAGCCGTGCGCCTGCTGGCAGTGGAAGACCAACTTGGGGCGTGTGACGGTGGACTCTGTGGGCGTGGTGTGGCCATTGGTGGGCGCCCTGGTGCTGGGGTGGTGGGCGTGCGTGTCCTCCACGCCATCCTCACGCTTCCTGGGCTTAAACAATGGCATGATGAGGGGGGAGGGGTCACGCGGGGCCCTCCACACTATCACACATGCGCTCTATGGCGCCGCACTCTCACACCAGACGGCGACGCGTCAGCACCAGCAGCAGGAGCACTAGAGAAGGAGGCGCAGCAGCAGCGACAGCAGCTCCACACGGCAGCACTGGCGGCCTCGTACTGGGTGTCGGGAGGCCGCGGTGGGGCGGAGTTCCGGTCTGTTCCCCCGGTCACCCTCCCTATACTATCGTTCACTTCCACATATCATCCATTCCACCCCAACATATCCACATACATACTCTCTATACATATTTATACATTTCATTATCCCGTTCTTACACAAAGTAATATTATACTCACCGACGTGTGTGATATTATATTTTTTCTTAATAATATTTCCATTATGAAAGGAAATTTAATTTAACCCAAAGTTTTTGATAGCTGGTCGCTGTGTTATGGATAGACCGTTAGAGTGTGTGGAGCACTGGAGCAGCTGTGGTGGGAGGCGAGACTTGTCTCCCTGCACACCTCCCCAGGTAATACTCTCCCTGCACACCTCCCCAGGTAATACTTCCTGCACACCTCCCCAGGTAATACTCCCTGCACACCACCCTAGGTAATACTCTCCCTGCACACCTCCCCAGGTAATACTCTCCCTGCACACCTCCCCAGGTAATACTCTCCCTGCACACCTCCCCAGGTAATACTCTCCCTGCACACCTCCCCAGGTAATACTCCCTGCACACCTCCCCAGGTAATACTCTCCCTGTACACCTCCCCAGGTAATACTCTCCCTGCACACCTCCTCAGGTAATACTCTCCCTGCACACCTCCCCAGGTAATACTCTCCCTGCACACCTCCCCAGGTAATACTCCCTGCACACCTCCCCAGGTAATACTCTCCCTGTACACCTCCCCAGGTAATACTCTCCCTGTACACCTCCCCAGGTAATACTCTCCCTGCACACCACCCCAGGTAATACTCTCCCTGCACACCTCCCCAGGTAATACTCTCCCTGCACACCTCCCCAGGTAATACTCTCCCTGTACACCTCCCCAGGTAATACTCTCCCTGTACACCTCCCCAGGTAATACTCCCTGCACACCTCCCCAGGTAATACTCTCCCTGTACACCTCCCCAGGTAATACTCTCCCTGTACACCTCCCCAGGTAATACTCTCCCTGCACACCTCCCCAGGTAATACTCTCCCTGTACACCTCCCCAGGTAATACTCTCCCTGCACACCTCCCCAGGTAATACTCTCCCTGCACACCACCCCAGGTAATACTCTCCCTGCACACCTCCCCAGGTAATACTCTCCCTGCACACCTCCCCAGGTAATACTCTCCCTGTACACCTCCCCAGGTAATACTCTCCCTGTACACCTCCCCAGGTAATACTCCCTGCACACCTCCCCAGGTAATACTCTCCCTGCACACCTCCCCAGGTAATACTCTCCCTGCACATCTCCCCAGGTAATACTCCCTGCACACCTCCCCAGGTAATACTCTCCCTGCACACCACCCCAGGTAATACTCTCCCTGCACACCTCCCCAGGTAATACTCTCCCTGCACACCTCCCCAGGTAATACTCTCCCTGTACACCTCCCCAGGTAATACTCTCCCTGTACACCTCCCCAGGTAATACTCCCTGCACACCTCCCCAGGTAATACTCTCCCTGCACACCTCCCCAGGTAATACTCTCCCTGCACATCTCCCCAGGTAATACTCCCTGCACACCTCCCCAGGTAATACTCTCCCTGCACACCACCCCAGGTAATACTCTCCCTGCACACCTCCCCAGGTAATACTCTCCCTGCACACCTCCCCAGGTAATACTCTCCCTGTACACCTCCCCAGGTAATACTCTCCCTGCACACCTCCCCAGGTAATACTCTCCCTGCACACCTCCCCAGGTAATACTCTCCCTGCACACCTCCCCAGGTAATACTCTCCCTGCACATCTCCCCAGGTAATACTCTCCCTGCACACCTCCCCAGGTAATACTCCCTGCACACCTCCCCAGGTAATACTCTCCCTGCACACCTCCCCAGGTAATACTCTCCCTGCACACCTCCCCAGGTAATACTCTCCCTGCACACCTCCCCAGGTAATACTCTCCCTGTACACCTCCCCAGGTAATACTCTCCCTGCACACCTCCCCAGGTAATACTCTCCCTGCACACCTCCCCAGGTAATACTCTCCCTGCACACCACCCCAGGTAATACTCTCCCTGCACACCTCCCCAGGTAATACTCTCCCTGCACACCTCCCCAGGTAATACTCTCCCTGTACACCTCCCCAGGTAATACTCCCTGCACACCTCCCCAGGTAATACTCTCCCTGCACACCTCCCCAGGTAATACTCTCCCTGCACATCTCCCCAGGTAATACTCCCTGCACACCTCCCCAGGTAATACTCTCCCTGCACACCTCCCCAGGTAATACTCTCCCTGCACACCTCCCCAGGTAATACTCTCCCTGCACACCACCCCAGGTAATACTCTCCCTGCACACCTCCCCAGGTAATACTCTCCCTACACACCTCCCCAGGTAATACTCTCCCTGCACACCTCCCCAGGTAATACTCTCCCTGCACACCACCCCAGGTAATACTCTCCCTGCACACCTCCCCAGGTAATACTCTCCCAGCACACCTCCCCAGGTAATACTCTCCCTGCACACCTCCCCAGGTAATACTCTCCCTGCACACCTCCCCAGGTAATACTCTCCCTGCACACCTCCCCAGGTAATACTCTCCCTGCACACCTCCCCTGGTAATACTCTCCCTGCACACCTCCCCAGGTAATACTCTCCCTGCACACCTCCCCAGGTAATACTCTCCCTGCACACCTCCCCAGGTAATACTCTCCCTGTACACCTCCCCAGGTAATACTCTCCCTGCACACCTCCCCAGGTAATACTCTCCCTGCACACCTCCCCAGGTAATACTCTCCCTGCACACCTCCCCAGGTAATACTCTCCCTGCACACCACCCCAGGTAATACTCTCCCTGTACACCTCTACACAATTATTTTACAATCCGGGCTCTTTAAGTATTTGGACAATTCCTAGATAGGCTTATCCCTGCAGATTAATCATTCAGACCAGCGCAGTCCTTTATATTACGCTGGAGAACTGTAAATCATTTGTTGAGTTTTACATAGAAAATAAATATTATAGGTTTGGTTTCATCTCATAAAGTAATATTGTCCCTAAAATGTGAAACTTAATACAATCAATATCGTAACTTAAGCTCTTAGAGGAAAGTTTAGCGTACTTTGTAAAATATACAAATACAGTAGCGTGTTACTACTGTAAATTATCAATATAAGCTGATTCTCTGTATTATATATACATAAAACTACTGTTATTATCGAATGGTCGCCTAAATGATCTAAATCACATTGTTTTTCTGAGGCGAAGATAATATAGTTACATGTAAACTGAAGTGGGAGCCTAGTACCATTGTTTAATATGGAGGTCGTGTAGAGTTACGTCACACCGCCGCTGCTCAGATATTCTTGCTTATCATGTCTGGCTTTATCAGCTGATTGTCACTGACGGCTTCTGCAGCTCGCCATGTTTACCCTCCATGTTTACTGCCTCCAGCACTAGATGGCAGGGCGAGCCTTGGCCTCACACACCCGAACATGTGGCAACAATGTCGTATCCTTCATTGTCTTACCTAATAGTTTGCAGAACCGAGCCTCAACTCCTACACCACATTTTTCCCAATGTTAGTTGTTTATTGCAATAATTTTAATGTCTTTATCTATTTATATCTATTTTAAAAACTATGCATAGAGAAGACCTGTAATTTTTCACCTTATAGTTCATTCCACTTGCTTACTGGCCATACATTGAAAAACTGCTTCCTCACGTACCTGTGGCTCATCCCAGTGTACTCGCCTAATTGTGCTTACAGGGGGTTGAGCTTTGGCTCTTTGGTCCCGCCTCTCAATCGTCAATCTACTGCTGTACTAGCTTCTCGAGCTCTATCATATCTACATTCGAAACTGTGTATGGAGTCAGCCTCCACCACATCACTGCCTAATGCATTCCACCTGTTAACTACTCTGACACTGAAAAGTTCTTTCTAACGTCTCTGTGGCTCACTTGGGTACTCGGCTTCCACGCATGCACACCTGGGTGTCTAACTTCCATGCTTGTCCTCTCTTTACTCTGCTGTTCAAGATAAACATCTTGATCATGTCTCTATGATTTCTCCCGTTTTCCAGTTATATTAGGTTCAGCTCCTTCAGTCTATCCCAAAAGCTTAGTCTCCTTAATCTTGTAGCAAACCTCAGTATTTTCTCAACTTCATATTGTGTTTTTGAGGTGGGGGTCCACGCTGGTACTGCATACTCTGACACTGGTGAGAAATATGCTGCATAGGGTTCTAAAAAGCTTCTTTAGTCTTATGGTCGCCAGCTTAGCATTTGCTGTTGAAGTAGTTTTACTTTCGTGTGATTCTGGGGATAGCTTTAGTGTTATGACTTCTCTAAGATCTGTTGTATACCACCCTGGTAAGTTCATTATATATATTGCTCCTTGGCACTTATTAATGGTCCTATACTCATGAGTATAGGACCATTAATGAGTTCCAAGGAGCATCTATGCAGGGATGCATTGGAGATCCTTAAGTGTCGCTTGTATAGGATTTTAGAAGCGTCTTCGTGGTAAGGTTCAGTCAGATTCTACAGCCTCTGGTTTGTCAAGGTCTTTTTTCTCTGAGTCTCTAGAGGAGTCCTTCTTCCCATGTGGGCAGTTGTTTCAGCTCCAATTTGAAGATTTAAAAATTTAAATTTAACTTTTCACATATTACTCCGTTATTCGACAGTAATTCTGCACTTTCCTGCTAAGCCTCGCCTCCACACAATTTATCGTACTTCTCAACCTTATATAATTGTGTAGTAATCTTTGTTGGTCCATAACTTTGTAGACTACGTGGTTCTCGCATTGTTTGTTTCTTAATCTTTTACTGTAGGAATACTCGTTAATTGTTCTCGCTCTTATCTCTTTATTCTCCAATGTCTTGTTTTTTCAAGGACTTTTTCCCATGCTTTCCTGCTAATGGCTTTAATTTTCTTACATTGCCTATAGCACCATGGGCTGTCTTGTCTTGGTACGCTGTCTCTCTGGTGGCCAATGTTCCTCCCTTTTGCCTTTAAATATTAGTGTTATAAATTCCATCATGTTTTGTATTGATTTGTCCCTTCTATTTCCCTGCGGATTCTCGCTAATTATGATTTTTTTCCTCGTCGTTACCGGTATGTTTTCTTTATTTTTTCCTAGTTCCCCTTTCGATAAAGCAGCTCATTGTTCTCTCTGATATGTTTTTACCTCTATTTGTTTTTAACTGGGCGCACTCCTCTGGCGAGCCACGTTCCAACCTGATTTATAAATGTATAGTAATTTAATAGTTCAAGTACATTATGTATGGTCTACGTTGTCGGCTCACACCCTGACAGGTTAAATTTCCCTGTCAGGACAGAGACGATTGGGCACGTTTCCTGTCACTTGGTGCATCTGTTCACCCAGCAGATAGATACCGGGGAGTTAGATAATTGTTGTGGGTTAATTGCATGCTTGGGAAGATCAGTGGTTGGTCTAAGTACAGACTTTTTGTCCCCAATAACGGACAAGCTAGCAACGGGATGAATAAAATAAAATTTTTATTTAAGTTACACCTGTACACGTTCTATTTTAGAGTTGTCAAAGAAAATGAAATATTTTATGTAAAACTAAAATCAATAAAGAGACCCTTCAGTTGAACCACAATGATCTCTGGTAAAATACAATCGTCTTCTAGTCAATAATTTCACAAGCAATATTTACCTGATGACCACTACATATAAACAAGGAATACAGGAAGGGATATATATATACACCAAGCAAGATACACCTTGCTTGATCGGTGTACATTGATAAACTGAGATATCACTCTGTATATATTTACAGATTACAAACTTTTGGTGCCCCATATATGTGTAATTCAAAATATAAATAATAATAAACAGCAAAATACAATTATATTTTACGAAATGAAGCAAAACTTAGAGTAAGATAGAAAATAATGTTTATTTTTGTATACTTTCACTTCACTTATTTACCTGAGGGATCACTTACACTCTAGTAGCCTCATGAGGACAAGATGCTGGCGGTTTGTCAAAGGTCACCCCATTTGTTCTGATGATTTTATCAAGTTGGATTTTGACATTCAGCAGTGTTTTGACATGTACGGCCTTCTGCGGGTAGGCGGTTCCAATGGTTGGCTTTTCTGTTCGTGTACCCATTGTTAATTAATACTTGAAGACTTGTGTCCAGTTCCTGGTATATGTTATGGCAGTCGGAACAATGAGTAAGGGGCTCCGCATATAAATGAGTTTATCACACTAGTCTTGTATCTGTCTGGGTATTCGGAGTGACCATTTATTTATTTATTTATTTATTTATTTATTTATTTATTTATTTATTTATATACAAGAAGGTACATTGGGATTGTGAGGATACATAGCATAGTAATTACATTCTTGTAAAGCCACTAGTACGCGCAGCGTTTCGGGCAGAAATACCATTCTGTCAGTCAGTAGTCAATCCTCGTGACCGAAGAGGATTGACTAGGCACCAGTCCTTAACTGCACGCTTCTGTTCATCCAGCAGTGAATGGGTACCTGGTTGTTAATCGATTTTGGCAGGTTTCCCGATTCCAGGGAAAATTAGGATTAAGGATCTGCCCGAGACGCTATGCGTGCTAGTGGCTTGACAACAATGTAAGAACTCTTGTATATATAAATAGAAAAATCATGCACATTCCAATATTGGCTTGGTTAGTATAAACATCTATGGTGGAGGTGTTGTCTTTGGTTCTCACGTAGACATCAAGGAAAGGTAGTGTATCATTGATGCCTGGTTCATGGGGTAAAGTTAAGCACTGAGTGTTGGGTAAGTAGATCCTTTAATTCACACATATATATATCATCGATGTATCTGCAGTAGATGTGAGGTATTTATTTAGTTTTGAAGATGGTGTCTTTTAGTGTTCCCATAAAAAAGTTATCAAAAGAACTCTTAGTGGAGGACCCTGTGACTACTCCGTCTATCTAGTAGTAGAGTAAATTTTATTCAGGAAAGTACATACATAGTTGATTTACAAACATAATGTTGGATTTATTGATAGAGCTTGTACATACAATACCTGAAACCACTAATAGGCATAGCGTTGCGGGCAAGAAACGAAATCTGTGCATACATGTCTCCCCAAGGGGTGTGTTAATGGAGGCATTTTGGTGCAACTCTCCAGATTACGTGGGGCAGACTCTAGGGTCTCTAGTTGTTTCAGTTAGCTTAGAACCCAGCTTTTTAAAAATACTAGCAGCACTTTTATCCCAAGCACCAAGAGGCAATTGGGACAAAATTGTAGTGGTGATTAATAACTCTGAATTATTGACTGCTTCCCGGTGAGTGGCAGTACCGCCTGGATGTGCAACACTGAAGTCAATATAGGTGTTGGCTAAAATTGAAACATACGTGTAATCCGACACCAACTGTCTACCATTCTTCCAGAGGTTCACAAGGGACACCAGTTTAAAACAATTGCAGTCTCTATCAAGTTATTGTAATTATACAGTAATTGATCTAACTATGACTGCAAACTAATTGTAGTATATATATAAGTTCACTTTCTTGAAAAGGAACGAAAGATTTTTTTTTATTTTTCAGTTTGCTTAAAAGGAATATAATTACAGCACTTTCTTTATATACAGTACAGTATATCTATTACTATAAAACAGAATGTGTCTGTCCGGAGTTATAGGCAAGCAGCCCGTTCTTAGGGAATGTCCATGACCAGGAGAGAACAAACCCCACCTCAAATCAACTATAGTGAGGCTATTTCCAATCCCCCAAAAGAACGACATAGCCGCTGGACATTAAGCGCTACACACACACACACACATATATGTGTGTGTGTGTGTGTGTGTGTGTGTGTGTGTGTGTCTCAGTGTCGCGATCCAGAGAGGAAATGCCTGCTGTATCTTGAGCACGCATTCCACCGCCGAAGAGCTGGATGAGGTCTTCGAACAATGATTGTTATATGTGTGTGTGTGTTTTCTGTAAACTGTAACACAATGTAATAAAATTAATACAAAAATATATTAATTGTAACTCCCCCGCACAACGAAATCGTTGGAGAGTAGCTGCCTAAGTCCCTATAATTTCTTGACCACTGACAGTCATAAGAAGGTCGGTGTGGGCCTTCAAACAGCAACCTTTAGGTACCCGGGTCAAGCACCGGGTCGACATGGGTACCGTGGAAATATGGTATGAACGTATGAGGATAATTCTAAGTTCCATACTTTGTTACTCAATAAGAGCTGTATGTGACTTCTAAGCCTATCCTAACACATGTGACCCAACAAATATATGTAACCTCTATAGGCCTATCGAGCACATGAATGTGACCTATAGGCTTATAGATAAATAAATATAGATAAAAGATAAAACCATTTTGAAACAAAATAAGGATCAGTTATATGAATAAATTCTATAACACAAATGTTCTTATAAAGGTTTTTCCTTACAGTGATCTCTGGCTTCGTGGAGCTGAACTCTGCCAACTGATATCCGGTTACATGGACCAGACTGTGTATTCACTTTAAATACAGTTAACTATTTTATAGACTCTAAAGGCTACGACAAAACGAGGTACCGAAAATATTTGTAATAATGATTTCAGGAAAATCTCTCTAATTGTATATCAGTCAAAAGTGTTGCAGTTTGATATTATCTACATTTGTTACTTATTTACAAAGTTAACTTATACACGCTCATTACGTTTAATGAAGTGTAGACGTTTGAGATGTGTAAACTGAGAACACGTCACTGTGTACATCTGCTTGTCTTCCAAGTTTCAATAAGCACTATGTGAGTAAACAAGGACAACATGGCTCATGGAAGTTAATGTTCCCCATACCATTTGCTATCGTTGGGAACGCCGGTGTTACAGTCATGTGCAGGCTGCACCTACAGTAAGCAAATTTTGGATACTTCGCTAAGATTCCTGGCAGTACATCATTATGATTGAAATACTTACACATTTCTTGGACACCATTGATGGTGTTATCTCTGAATTCCGCGAATATTTCACATTCCATTATATAACAACGCAAAAATAAGTGAATACGTCTGCTGACAGAGTTTACATTTAGTCAAATCTACATCGGCAGATGATGCAAACCCTAGCAGTGGTAACATCTAGAAGTCTGCTAACCTTATTGGATGACCCATAGACGTGCGGGTCTTCCTGCATAATAGAATGATAGATGGAGGAACTAGTGTTAATTTCACTTCGCCTCAAGTCTACTTGATTTTGTTACTGTTTCCGGATAATTACTGACCTCAGGCTGCTCAAATGCAGTCCAAGATGGTAATCAATTCCCACTTTACAAGCAAAAGTTTTGGCTAACTCGTCAGTTCTATCATGCATTAAGAGACAAATATGGAAAGGCGTTCCTGAACCCTTTCTACCACCGCACACGGGATGGGTATGGGGTACATAATAAATTAATGAAAATTAAAAAACTCTGGTGTTGTTATCGTTGGCAACGCCGGTGTTGTTATTGCTGACAACCGAGCGCAAGTGTTGTCGTACTCTAAGCGCCGGTGTTGTTCTCATGAGTATGGGTGTTGCCTCACTTCTAAGCGCCAGTGTTGTCATTCTCCTGAGAGCGAGAGTTGTCGTACTCGATCTCGTCGGCTACGGTGATGGTGGAGGGACCCCGCTGGATCCTGCTGTAGGCTCCCTGAGGGCGGCGACACAGCCACCCGTGACGCCAATACACCAGCAGCGACACCGTCGCCAGGCTCACGCCCAACCCAGCCACCATCAGCCCCACTAGAAACCCAAAGGACCTGTGGACACAATAGCGTTAGACAGACAAACCTGTGAGTACAATTGTGCTTGTGAATTCAAATATAATTTGTAAAAACCCACTCATGTATGCTCTTATATTTTTTTTTAATGTTAGGTTGCTAATATATATAAAATTGGATCTAAATTTAAATATCACATTGATGGAGCTTTTGATAAATTGAACCTGACAATATGTACATCAGAAACTATTCTGACCTTTTCAAACTTATCGATATTGTCATATAATGAGGAGTTTGGTATATCGGGAACAGGAAGCCAGTTAAGTTTATTGAGGGGACCATAATCAAGGGTGGAAATATCCGCGCGGTCGTCTCTAAATATGAGATATTAATGCCAATGGGAAAAGCTCAGAATATTCTCCGTACTTCCACTTCAGGCACTTGTCATCGTCTTTTGTGTATGGCTCTTCCCAGGATTTTGAGGTATGTACATTATATTGACTCCTTTAATGAGGCCAAATTGTAAAAGTGATAAATACTGAACATTATTAACTATTACCCTATTAAGGACTAAAATATAGTTGCTAGTTGGTCAGTAGGCTACTGAGGAGGCCTTAATTACCGCTCCCTTGGGGTAATAGGCCCTGAAGTCAACACCAAACATGATAACATGTCATTCTTCAGCTTTTTCTTGACCTTGATAGACCTCATTTAGATAATACAGTTCAGTTTTGATCAACGAGTTACATGATAGACGTAAATTCCCTAGAACGTTAACGGAAGAGAGATAACGAAGGAATTATGAATCTTCCTTGTGAAGAATGATTACGAAAACTTAATTTATGTTTTCTAGAAAGAAGAGTGAACGGTGATATGATAGAAGTATAGAACTGGATGAAAGGGTATAGCGAAGGAGATAATAATAATAATACGTTAAATATATAAAGGAGAACAGAACGCGACACAATGGCCACAAATTAGATAAGTTTAGAGTCTGTTAAATAAGGGTGCTATTGGTTTACGGAACAAATTCTGGTGCTATTGGTTTACGGAACAAATTCTGGTGCTATTGGTTTACGGAACAAATTCTGGTGCTATTGATTTACGGAACAAATTACCGGGTAGCATAATAGACGTGGGATCGCTGGAGTGTTTCAAGAAGGAGTTAGACGTATATGAGTGAGTGTGGGTGGGTGTAAATAAGAGCTGCCTCGGATGGGTCAGTAGGCCTTCTGCAGTTACCTTTATTCAAATGTTTTAATGTACTTGTGAAGATAGACAGGAAGAGAGAGAGAGAGAGACACCTACTTGATCTGTGAATGAGTCTGTGGGTCACATCTGAGGTCCTCCTCCTTTACATACTTGAGGCGGTGACCGCGCAGGCGCAGAGGTTGTGAACACCTGTAACCAACAACACTTACAGTTTATATTAGAACTAGTTTAATAAATTCAGAATAAGCCGCTATTGCAGATTGAAGGTGAACATATTTCTTAAATGGACACGTAAATTCTTGATGAATCCCACCCCGGGATGGGTCGACACCTCTTAAGGGGCACAGTAATATATATAATCAAAACTAATTAACGAGGAAACTAGAACTTACAACATTCTATTGTCGACGAGATTCATTAGTGGCGAAGCCTTGACCCACTTCATCCGACAGTCACAGTTCCAGTGGTTGTATTCAAGGCGGACCTGACGAAGGTGCTGCCAGGGTAGCAGATCCTCCGGAAGTGTCGCCAAGATGGAGAACGAGAAGGTGAAATCTTCTACAATGATCGCCTTGTCTACCTGGTGGCCTGTCTGAGGATCTATCACCTGCTCGTGGAAGGCCTGCGGGAGGATTGTCCTTCGTCACTACCACTTTTTTAAGGCACAGCACTGATATTAAATTATTGTATATGAGTATTCGTTTTTGTATAGCCATCCGAATTATACAATATATTTTGTATAATTCAAATTCAAATTTTTATTCAGGTAAAAGTACATACATAGATGGAATTATTCACAGAAACATACTGGAGCCTGTCAGTAAGGTAAGACTGAAGGTATTGTAGGGAGTGACCTCTGACTCCATAATGATATGACCTAATGACTCCATAATTGATAATATATAAAATTAAAACAAACTTAAAAATATATAATTCAGTAATTCTGGTATTTAGAATTGGTATTTTAGCCCATTTTTAAAATAGGATGCGAAAAATACTGACAACTAATACACAGATCCTTTATCCCGTTTCCTATTATTTCTGACCAGTATAACTAAAACCGCCATATTGCTAACTTTTGGATGGATGTACTTGATCCTGGGCATGTAGCGGAGGACGACGGTCTCCAGGCTGTCCAGGTCCCCAAAGGCGTAGGCCTCAATGGTCTCCAGTAGCAAGAATCTCTCCAAAATGAGCGTCCGTAAGTTTGTGAGGTTGAAGAAGGAGTAGGCTCCCAGGGACTGTTGGCGGCCACAACGAGGATGTGTTAATAATCAATGGAATGCAGACTGTTCTTCTTGCCAATATTATTACTATAATTAAGCTCATATGCACTGAAATTATAAATAATCACAAAAGAAATGTATTTTTTTGTGTTAGGCTATTTCGTATACCTTCCATTACTGTAATTATAGTTTGTTCTCAGCCTACGACATAAGTTTATTCATTAGTAATCGGATATGGAGTTTTAATGTTTTTGTTAAGCTTGGCATGAGTGAAAGAACGAGTAAGAGTTTTAGCTGATGCATAGCCTCATGCGGAGGAAAATAACAGTTAATTATCAAGTTGTAAACAAAGGGAGGAGTTTGGAAGTCAAATAATAATAATAATAATAATAATAATAAAAAGTGTGTGAGTTTAATTCAGCAAAAGGCCTGTAAACTATAACCATTCAATACTGACAGATACCATGGGGTCAGCTCGACCCCATAATCATGACCCGGACACCGTGGGAGCGCCACACGGGCTCACCATAGCCCGTGCTACATGGACACTTCGTTCTGAGTAGCTAAATCTGAAACAACAACATCCACACATGACCCGGACACCGTGGGAGCTCCACACATGACCCGGACACCCTGGGAGCTCCACACATGACCCGGACACCGTGGGAGCTCCACACATGACCCGGACACCGTGGGAGCTCCACACATGACCCGGACACCGTGGGAGCTCCACACATGACCCGGACACCGTGGGAGCTCCACACATGACCCGGACACCCTGGGAGCTCCACACATGACCCGGACACCATGGGAGCTCCACACATGACCCGGACACCGTGGGAGCTCCACACATGACCCGGACACCCTGGGAGCTCCACACATGACCCGGACACCGTGGGAGCTCCACACATGACCCGGACACCCTGGGAGCTCCACACATGACCCGGACACCCTGGGAGCTCCACACATGACCCGGACACCGTGGGAGCTCCACACATGACCCGGACACCCTGGGAGCTCCACACATGACCCGGACACCGTAGGAGCTCCACACATGACCCGGACACCGTGGGAGCTCCACACATGACCCGGACACCGTGGGAGCTCCACACATGACCCGGACACCCTGGGAGCTCCACACATGACCCGGACACCCTGGGAGCTCCACACATGACCCGGACACCCTGGGAGCTCCACACATGACCCGGACACCCTGGGAGCTCCACACATGACCCGGACACCGTGGGAGCTCCACACATGACCTGGACACCCTGGGAGCTCCACACATGACCCGGACACCCTGGGAGCTCCACACATGACCCGGACACCCTGGGAGCTCCACACATGACCCGGACACCCTGGGAGCTCCACACATGACCCGGACACCCTGGGAGCTCCACCATAAACCCATGCCAACCGCAGGAGGGGAGGAAGCTGTGAGTTATCAAGCCAGACCTGATAATGTCACGTGTTTGTCGTAGATAAACAGATAAGCGCATTGGACGATAAAGACTGGTTATTGGGAATTAACTTATCTCAATTTAACATTTATAAGCATAAAACTTTTGATGACTAATTACAATGAATGGATATAGACAAAATTTTAAGTTTAAAACATTTCTTAGAAGTTATCTTAGGTTAATACTTAAAATTAATGGATAATTGGGGGTATGTATTGGGATCACCACGCACCTGTATGGGGGAGGGGGTCACAACGCGCTTGTATGGGGTCACAACGCGCTTGTATGGGGTCACAACACATCTGTAGGGGGTCACCACGCACCTGCATGTGTCACCACGCACCTGCATGTGTCACCACGCACCTGCATGTGTCACCACGCACCTGTATGGGGTTACCAGAGAGGTCGAGGGTGACGAGGGAGTCGCGCAGGAGGAAGAGAGCCTTGGCGGGGACGACGGTCATGTTGTTGACAGCCAGGGACACCTCCTGCAGACTCCTGCCGCACACCCAACACGTCTCCGTTATTTGCAACAGTAATTAGGTAGGTCAATAGGTAGGTAATTGTCAGGAGAAAGCGCTTAGCCAGAACGACTGTATAGCACACTTAAGAGGGGAGTGGCCGGTCGCGCCCGGGTCTCTCTTCACCCTTATTCCATCTCTCCCAACTTAGCCCTTTGTCCCAATATCTTTCCTCTCTCTCTCACCTCTCTTCCCATGACTTGACACTTTTCAACTTTCTCTCCCAAGATATTCCTCCCCTCATACTCTTCTCCTTCCCTCTCCACCTCTCACACCTTTCCCCTCTCTCCCCTTTTCACCGTCTCTCCCAGTCTTCCAACTCTATTCACTCTTCCACCCCACCTCACCATCTGTCTTCCCCCCCCTTTCTCTCCTTCCCTCATCTCCCCTTCTTTTCCACCCCCTTCTCTCTCTCACTCTGTCTCTGTCTCTGTCTCTCTCTGTCTCTGTCTCTCTCTCTCTGTCTCTCTCTCTCTGTCTCTCTCTCTCTGTCTCTCTGTCTCTCTCTCTCTGTCTCTCTCTCTCTCTCTCTCTCTCTCTCTCTCTCTCTGTCTCTCTGTCTTTCTCTCTCTCTCTCTCTCTCTCTCTCTCTCTCTCTCTCTCTCTCTCTCTCTCTCTCTCTCTCTCTCTCTCTCTCTGTCTCTCTCTCTCTTTCTTTCTCTCTCTCTCTCTCTCTCACACACACACAAGGGAACACATCTAGGGACTCGACCAGTCACCTTTCACCAATTACAGGAAGGGGTGGGATCACTATTTGGCCCGAGTCCTCTCTTAATAGGAACAATAGGGTCGATGACAACAAGCCTTTGTCCACCTCATACCTCAGACCATTGAACTTACAAAGTCTTGTAAGGCTAACACCAAGTACCTGGCCTCCAGCCATGGACAGGCAGACATATACAAATATTCTCTCTTATAGATATAGATGGAATGAAGGGGGAATCAGGGGGAAAGCGCCAAGTCATTACGACTATATGGCACTTGGAAGGGGTCAGGATAAGGATTGGGGATGGAACGGGGGGGGGGGGAAGGAATGGTGACCTGACGTGAGGACCAAAGCAGCTGGGAAATGAGGACGAAGGGAAAGAGTGGTGTTCATCCACATGGACCGTCGGGAATCGAACATCGACCTGCAAGAAACGAGTCCGTTGCTCTGCCAACCAGTCCAAGTGGTTAAGTACTTGGAGATTTATACAGCTTCGCTAAACTATAGGAACGGTACAGCGTATGTCAATAGCTAGCTGGGTGATACTAAGCTCTCCGTCAGGTAGGCTGGTTGACCATACAGTCTATGAGATTTGTCTACCACCAAGAGAAACATTTTGGAGAGATTATGAAAATATTTTGAAGAACATGAGAATGGACCAAGTAATTTCTCAGCTCCGTTTCGCTTCAAGCAGGTCGGCGTTCAATTCCCGACTGTCCAAGTAGTTGGGCAACATTCCTTCCCCCCGTCTCATCCCAAATCTGCATCCTGATCCCTTCCCAGTGCTATATACTCGTAATGGTTTGGCGCTTTCTCCTGATAGACCCCCTCCCTTCCATATACCTCATGTCGGCAGGTCTTTGGGTATAATGCCTGAACATTTAATAATATAATATAGTTTGTGCCTCATTTTCATTAACATTAAAGAGGGCTAGCTCACCCTGGATGTAAATCATCGGGGAAATGCTGATATGATCTAAAAGTCTCGACAAGAAGCGAGGAACTCACGTGAGGTTGGGGTGGAAGAAGTCATTTGGTAGACTAGACAGTTTGAGGGCGGCAAGGTCTAGCTTGGTGAGGGCAGTGTTCTGGGCCAGTAAGGACGGGCTGAGGGTCACCAGCGGGTTGAACGCCAGCCGTAGCTCCTCCAGGTTCACCAGCGGCCACAACACCTCCGCGGGTAGGTCCTCGATCTTGTTGTAGCTAAGGTCTAGCCGGGTCAGGTTGTGGAGCCCAAAGAACGCCTGTATCACAGTGTTATAGTATTATTATAGTTATATTATAAAAGCATCTTTCCGCTTCGTTCCAAGCAAAAATATCCTACAAGTTCCAGTGGGTTTCGAATCCTCTTTCTCACGACATATCGCTGCCAATAACATCTGTTCTACCAGGCAAGCTAACCGAGTTGTTAAACAGTTAGATAACGAATCCTTGGGCGTCACTTACATGCATTACTTGCAAGGTACTGAAGAACGTAATCATGACAAAATAATAGAGCACCTGCAGAGGTTGAACTTTGCAAGTGAGATACGATGTAGGTTTAAAGTGGAAAAGTCGGGCCTAATTAACTTAATAAGTGTTCTATAGCAACGTTACTAAAATACGACTGGGTAAAGAAGGCTGAATAGACTTAATTTATGTAGACTGTAAAAAAAAATTTACCACTGTTCCTGTTGAAAGACTATTGTATAAGATAGAAAGTCGAGCTGTTGTAATTTGAAAGACATTAAACTGGATTAGGGAGGGCCTGGCGGAGTGATCTAATGCGTGTCAATTTTTGTCGAGGGCGCAAAGCTATCCAGGAAAGTAAAAACGGAAGAGGACTGTACAATGGGCGCTTCAGGAAGACCTTGACGACCTCCATGAGCGGCCAGATATATGGCTGCTAGAGAAGTGAAGTAATGGACATGGGAAAGGGTGACAGAACACGTGAAGTACACGATAATGGGACGGAAAAGTCAAAGAATAGGAGTGAGAAAAATATTTGGAAACCGTTATAATTCCGGCATTAACAGCAGATGTATGCAGAACTTAAAATGATAACAGCGGCAGCCTATGAAAACCTGGTCACGATCGACAGGATTGGCATTTAAAAAATCAAAACGAAAACTTTTCGTTTTGACAATTTACAGTTTACAAAGATAATTTACACAGTCTTTGGGAGACTAATGCAAGAACACGAAGCCCCGGCACGGAATCCAAACCTTGTATGCATTTCTATGCCCCAAAGGAATCTTGAGAATGTTTAGAGGTTGACCACTAACAAGGTACGAACTAAACGAACTCATTCCAGCAACCGTAAAGAGGAGAATGAAGAGAAGAGACATGACAACGCCATACAAAATACTGAGCGGGAATAGATAATGCGGGCAAGGAAAACCTTTTTAAATAGAAATAAAATACCAACATATTATATCTGAGGAAGTTAGAAATGCAAGTGAGTCGAGTGACTTGCAAGAAAGAAGAAAATACCTGTACTCCTGTACGGGTGGTTGACGAGTGCATGAACGGTGCCGTCATGGAAGCCACCTCAGGGTTCGATTCCCGCACGAGGCAGAAACAAATGGGCGAAGTTTCTTTCACACTGAATGCCCCTGTTACCTAGCAGTAAATAGGTACCTGGGAGTTAGTCAGCTATCACGGGCTGCTTCCTGGGGGTGGAGGCCTGGTCGAGGACCGGGCCGCGGGGACACTAAAAAGCCCCGAAATCATCTCAAGATAACCTCAAGATAACCTCCATACACAGCTTCAGTTACAAATACACGGAAATAGTGCGTCCAGAGATTGAAAACACACCGCGCCATATACAATGACTAGGGTGCTGTGTGTAAAGAATTAGACCTCACTCTCCCGTAATCACTGATATATCAACACTGATGGTTATCAGTAACTGTCCAATCCATTCCATGAATGTTTCTCGAAGTCGAACTGAGACTCACATTTGTGAGAGGCTGTGGTGGGGAGTTGTTCTCAGTGGTCAGGGGCAGGTTTCTTAGTTTAGTTCAATTATTATGCACCCTATACCCATCATAAGAGCGGTGATGAAAAAGGTTAGAGGCGCATAAAGGGCTCAGAGGCTGAATCCCAAATTTTTTTTAACTAAGCAAGTTACAGACGTGATGAGCTAGTTACGTACTGTAATGTATATTATTATGTCAACAATGGGTTCGAGAACGACCCCAAGTACATTCTCTAAACTAAGCAACTTACACATGTGGTGAGCTAGTTTCATAATTCGATTTGGTTATCATGCAAACTGTCAAGTAATGACTAGTTTAGGAGGGGCAGAAATAGTCAGACAATGACGGAGACATAGGCTTGTGTAGAGAAGTAAACTGTACCCAAAACAGTACACTTACCTGGTAGACCAGTAGATAAATTGAAATTAACACAAATATTTAACAAAAGAATTCTGGTGAAAGATACAGATTCCTATAACATTAATTAGGCCTACATTAAATTATTTGTATTACTTTTAGATGGCAACCGAGGATCAATGTCCCCGCGTTCCGGTCTCTGACTTGGCCTCCTGGTTGGTGGTCTTGATTACCAGATCACCAGAATAAATAAATGTTTATGAAGGCTCTGTACTTTAAGCAGTTTTTTCTTAGACAAGGTACAGCAAGGGTTCCATACCTGTACTTCAGACAGGAGCCGCAGTCACGTGACCGCTCGTAACACGTGTCAAGGGTCAACACGTGCCACGTGCACCGGCTGGTAATTATAAACAAGCAAATGATGTAATGTAGTTTGTTATTTAAAGGACTCTTACATTTGTGTCGATGGTTTTTAACTTGTTGTTCTTGAGGAGGAGCGTAGCGAGGACCTTGAGCGGCTGGAAGACCAGAGCGTCGATGGTCTCCAGTTCGTTGTCCGAGAGGTCGAGGGACACCAGCGAGCTCGAGTCGCTGAAGGTAGACACGGAGAGGCTGGAGATGTGGTTCCTGGAGAAGTCAATTCTGGTGTACTGAGCGGGAACCTCCATTTGATCTGTCGGCAGCAGACATCGGGGATGACTGATGACTTCGTCTTGAGGACAACTAAGAGGACAACATCATTCTACCAGCTTCATATTACATGTTTAACCTAATCTATATTACAGTAACTAGGTCGACACTGCTCGATATTCAAACTGCCGCCTGGAAATATCTGAATTGATACTTAGTGATGTTTTTTATTGTATTTAATTTGAAGTACACACTAAACTAGTGAGCGTGAGTCTTCGTCTGTATTATATAACTTACGAACCAGAGACACGACAACATGCAGTGATTCCAGGTAACAGACGTTGTTCTTGTATAGGTCAGTTACCGCCATGATTCCTGGAGGTATATGAGAGGACGGCCGCTACGTCGGTACTGTCTGAGGCACTCACCTGGAAGCTGGTGATGTTGGCGTCGCTGGACACCCACCTGGTGATATACTGGCGTCGCTGGACACCCACCTGGTGATATACTGGCGTCGCTGGGCACCCACCTGGAAGACTGGTGATATACTGGCGTCGCTGGGCACCCACCTGGTGATATACTGGCGTCGCTGGGCACCCACCTGGAAGACTGGTGATATACTGGCGTCGCTGGACACCCACCTGGAAGACTGGTGATATACTGGCGTCGCTGGGCACCCACCTGGTGATATACTGGCGTCGCTGGGCACCCACCTGGAAGACTGGTGATATACTGGCGTCGCTGGACACCCACCTGGAAGACTGGTGATATACTGGCGTCGCTGGACACCCACCTGGAAGACTGGTGATATACTGGCGTCGCTGGGCACTCACCTGGAAGACTGGTGATATACTGGCGTCGCTGGACACCCACCTGGTGATATACTGGCGTCGCTGGGCACCCACCTGGAAGACTGGTGATGTTGGCGTCGCGACAATCGATGCCGTTCCTGCTTGCTGGGAGGAGCTTGGTGGGGCAGCGGCAGGTGGAGGGGCAGAGCTGCAGGACCTCTGTGGCACCCCACAGGAAGCCACCACAGCACACCGCCTGCCCTATCACCACCATCACCAACACCCACCCACCACCTCTCCACTCCCCCCCCATCTCCTGGTGCCCCGTGGCTGGTTGTGATGCTTAGTGGCCCAAATGATGTGATTCCCGTACTCTTTTCTTCCTGAATGTGCATAGAGAAGTGACATTAATTGACTATGATGGCCAGTTGACTGATAGTCGTATTGCTGCTGTAACAGTGGGCGAGGAGTTGTTTAAGATTCAGCTACTGGGAACAAAAAGTTCCAAGTAGCACGGGCTATGGTGAGCCCGTAGTGAACTTACCTGGCACAGGAGCGGGGCAAGAAGCACGGGCTATGGTGAGCCTCGTGGACGGGAGATGTCTCCCGTCCGCGGGCGAGGAGAGAGGAGGCTATAATTATACTTTACATGATTGATGATGATTAAGCCCCCAAGAGGTGGCACGGGCATGACTAGCTCGTAAGTACTTTACGAGCTCGTAAGTACTTTACGAGTGACTCCCATGTTAATAAGGTGAGGTCATGGAAAGTGAGGTGGTGGAAGTACTCATCTAACAGTGACTATACTGACAAGGCAGGTTCAAGTACGTTTATTGAGACAATAACATACATCTCAGAAGGATAGAGTAACTTAGGCTATTTCTACCCTCTTCGTCAGGTCTAACTCTTCATGCCCCGTTAATTAGCCTGGGCATTATATATATTTATATTTGACTGACGTTCGAGTTTTTGTCATTGAAGTTGTGAATAGAGGTGCCTTTAACTACTTGAAATTGAAATTGAAATTGAAATAAGTTTATTGAGGTAAAATACACATAAAGGGATGAGGTAGCTCAAGCTATTCTCACCCCGTTCAGTACATCGTGTTAATACATACATAGATACACATCACAAGCAATAGACGTATTACCGTACATTCTGAGAGATAAACATATACATTTCCTCCTTTACACAAGTAGTATGGTATCAGACATACACACAAATACTTTTTATGACCTAGGTATACTGTATAGACAATTTATTTAACTACTTCATTCAGTGCATTTCCAGTTGTTGACCACCCGTGCAGGGTACAAGTATTTCGTAACATTTACTCAACTGCGTTTCTAGATTCTACGTATGTCCTCTTGTCCTGTTTTCTTTCACTTTAACAAATCTATCCTTGCACACCTTGGCTATTTCCCCTCAGTATCGTGTATGTAGTGATAATGTCCCCTCTGTTTTCTCTGTTAAGTTCCCTAAATTTGTCCTCACAGCTTAGTCTTGTTAATTCTAACATTACAATTGTTACAAGCCTCTGTGTTGCAATATTAGGGTTGACATCTATGCAGGTATTGTATGGATATTTCTTCACCTATTAAACCTATTATAATCTGACTTAATATTTAACCTATCCTAACCTAACTCAGCATTATCTAGGCCTAATATTTTACATATATGTATGATATTAGACCTAAGTAAAGTTAGGTTATTATCCTCGTCACATTTGAGGACTCTCGCAGAAGGAATGTTTCATTTGCAAACAGGAAACATTGTGGCCTTGTGTTTTTGACAAAATTATATATTTTTTATATATATACCATATATATATTTTATATATTTATATATTTATTTAATATATGTATATATATTTTGTATATATTTTGAGGCCTGGTCGACGACCGGGCCGCGGGGACACTAAGCCCCGGAAGCACCTCAAGGTAGCCTCAAGGTATACCCACTGTAACATTAACTACGGTACTAAAATGTGACTCTTTTTTTGTAACTCGATCATAGACATATGCTTAGTGAACGAACAGGAGTAGTGCAGTTGGATTCGTTCCCGTCTCACAATCGTGAATCCCAGGTTGACCCAAAACGTTGGGGACTTTTCCTTTCCCTAATGCCTCTGTTCACTTAGCGGTAAATAGGCAGCCAGGAGTTAGTGAACTGTTGTGGGGTTGTGTCCTGGAGAGGCTCAGCAGGTCGACCTTGGGAGGACTTCGATACACGCTGCCTGTCCCCGACAAAACGAATTATTATTGCTGAGCCCAACATTATATGATTATTATAGGTAACCGGAGAAAGGTCTAAGCTAGGATGAACATCTAGCGCTTGGAAGGGATGTGAGAACAATTAAAGAACTGGGATAAGACAATAAATTGAAAAAAACTGTGCCCAATCACTTGAGCCATCTGGGATCGAACATCGGTCCTGCAAGAAGCAAGGACGCCGCACTACCAATCACTCCAAGGCCTTGGGAATCTCATGTGAAAGGAGGAAGAACGTTGTTTATGGATGTCTGACCATAAATACAGTATAGTGCAAATAATTCCTCGAAACCGCTTGCTACTGTGTTCATATTCCTGCCGCAGGATGTAGGTCTACAAAGATATTCAGACAAGGTAATTACGAGGAGAAAGCGCCAAGCCAGTATGATCATATGTCCAGACAAGAGGAGACTGTGGACGCGAGAGGTGCAATGTTGTTTTATATTCAGCTACTTGCAACAAAAATTCCAAGTAGAACGGGCTATGGTGATTGATTGATTGATAAAGATTAAGCCACCCACCTGAGCGGGTGGGTGGCTTAAGGTGGCACGGGCTATGGTAAGCCGGTAGTGGACTTGTGAAGAGTGGAGAGTGTGAAGCTAAGGAAGCCTAGTGAGCAAGCCGAACCTGTGGCGCATATTCTGGGTTGGTTTGGCCCCGACGCCGGACTGTGTTCAGACTTGAGTACTGATATGATCCACAAACACTGACTCGCGTATTCTCTGCAAGAGTTATCTTTTCATGGACGATTACGATCACATCCGGAAGCTGTATTTGTAATAAATTTATACAAAGCGTTACAATTCTGGCTGGACTAAACAGATGTACTGCCGTAAACCTTTAATTTTCGTGACTAATAGAATAACATAAAGTTTACAACGTGATGCTCATAATGTCAAAGCATACAATTAAAGACTATATATACACATCAGATATTATGGTGCACAGCATACATGCATCATCTATTTAAAAGTATGTTGCAATAGATGTGGCAGCTCGGGCGTAATGATGAGGCTATGACACTGAATACAAAGTGAGGTGTTGCTCTCAGGGACCAACACACAACCCTGTAATACTTCTCTTGCCCCACACTCCATCTTAGTCCTTAGTCATACACCTCACACCCACACTACGTCCCCTACACTCCACACCCCACACTACGTCCCCTAGACTCCACACCCCACACTACGTCCCCTACACTACACACTACGTCCCCTACACTCCACACCCCACACTACGTCCCCTACACTCCACACTACGTCCCCTACACTCCACACTACGTCCCCTACACTCCACACCCCACACTACGTCCCCTACACTCCACACCCCACACTACGTCCCCTACACTCCACACCCCACACTACGTCCCCTATACTCCACACCCCACACTACGTCCCCTACACTCCACACCCCACACTACGTCCCCTACACTTCACACCCCACACTACGTCCCCTACACTCCACACCCCACACTACGTCCCCTACACTCCACACCCCACACTACGTCCCCTACACTCCACACCCCACACTACGTCCCCTACACTCCACACCCCACACTACGTCCCCTACACTCCACACCCCACACTACGTCCCCTACACCCCACACTACGTCCCCTACACTCCACACCCCACACTACGTCCCCTACACTCCACACCCCCACACTACGTCCCCTACACTCCACACTACGTCCCCTACACTCCACACTACGTCCCCTACACTCCACACTACGTCCCCTACACTCCACACCCCCACACTACGTCCCCTACACTCCACACTACGTCCCCTACACTCCACACTACGTCCCCTACACTCCACACTACGTCCCCTACACTCCACACCCCACACTACGTCCCCTACACTCCACACCCCCACACTACGTCCCCTACACTCCACACCCCCACACTACGTCCCCTACACTCCACACCCCCACACTACGTCCCCTACACTCCACACTCCACACTACGTCCCCTACACTCCACACCCCACACTACGTCCCCTACACTCCACACCCCACACTACGTCCCCTACACTCCACACTCCACACTACGTCCCCTACACTCCACACCCCACACTACGTCCCCTACACTCCACACCCCACACTACGTCCCCTACACTCCACACCCCCACACTACGTCCCCTACACTCCACACTACGTCCCCTACACTCCACACTACGTCCCCTACACTCCACACTACGTCCCCTACACTCCACACCCCCACACTACGTCCCCTACACTCCACACTACGTCCCCTACACTCCACACTACGTCCCCTACACTCCACACTACGTCCCCTACACTCCACACCCCACACTACGTCCCCTACACTCCACACCCCACACTACGTCCCCTACACTCCACACCCCACACTACGTCCCCTACACTCCACACTACGTCCCCTACACTCCACACCCCACACTACGTCCCCTACACTCCACACCCCACACTACGTCCCCTACACTCCACACCCCACACTACGTCCCCTACACTCCACACCCCACACTACGTCCCCTACACTCCACACCTCACACTACGTCCCCTACACTCCACACCCCACACTACGTCCCCTACACTCCACACTCCACACTACGTCCCCTACACTCCACACCTCACACTACGTCCCCTACACTCCACACTCCACACTACGTCCCCTACACTCCACACCTCACACTACGTCCCCTACACTCCACACTCCACACTACGTCCCCTACACTCCACACCCCACACTACGTCCCCTACACTCCACACCCCACACTACGTCCCCTACACTCCACACCCCACACTACGTCCCCTACACTCCACACCCCACACTACGTCCCCTACACTCCACACCCCACACTACGTCCCCTACACTCCACACCCCACACTACGTCCCCTACACTCCACACCCCACACTACGTCCCCTACACTCCACACTCCACACTACGTCCCCTACACTCCACACCTCACACTACGTCCCCTACACTCCACACCTCACACTACGTCCCCTACACTCCACACTCCACACTACGTCCCCTACACTCCACACCCCACACTACGTCCCCTTCACTCCACACCCCACACTACGTCCCCTACACTCCACACCCCACACTACGTCCCCTACACTCCACACCCCACACTACGTCCCCTACACTCCACACCCCACACTACGTCCCCTACACTCCACACCCCACACTCATTCACACTAACATCATGACACCCAACATCACTAAATGTTAAGAACAGTGTAGCAGATATTGTGGGATGTAATGTATCGCCTTAACCTCCTTGACCTCACCCGACCTTCTCCTCCCTGACCTCACCCCATCTTCTCCTCCCTGACCTCACCCGCATCTTCACCGCCCTGACCTCACCCGCACCTTCACCGCCCTGACCTCACCCCATCTTCTCCTCCCTGACCTCACCCGCACCTTCACCGCCCTGACCTCACCCCATCTTCTCCTCCCTGACCTCACCCCATCTTCTCCTCCCTGACCTCACCCGCACCTTCACCGCCCTGACCTCACCCGACCTTCACCGCCCTGACCTCACCCCATCTTCTCCTCCCTGACCTCACCCGCACCTTCACCGCCCTGACCTCACCCGACCTTCACCGCCCTGACCTCACCCGCATCTTCACCGCCCTGACCTCACCCGCACCTTCACCGCCCTGACCTCACCTCATCTTCACCGCCCTGACCTCACCCCACACGAGTATCTGCAGATATGATAAAAGTTTCTACAGGCAAACATTCATGTATAAATAATTATAATATCTTGGCGTTTTTTCTCAACTTGCAACACTTTGAGGAAAATGATCTGGTGCTGCCAAAATACCTTATTATTATTAACATCTTTATTGACAAAATTAATTACAATTTTGCCTAATCTGAGGATTTTGATAGTCTTATTAAAGTGAGGATAATGCTGGTATTCACTGTCACGCAGGACAGAGGGTCATACATAAGACAATAGGTCTAAACTGTAGGCTGAAGCACATATATATCAACACATCAACAATGAATATGAATGCTAACTGGCCGAGTAGAAATGCCGCCAACCTCATCAGAGATCTCCGCGAGTGCCAGAAACGGCCATGATACTATGTCCCCCCCCTCCACCAAACACACAAACTACTGAGCTGCAGGTGTGTGTGTGCCAGGTGTGCCACCATGCTGGCTCCCTCCACCCCCTCCCCCCCCACACACACCAACAGAAAATCCTCCACATCAGAGGGAGAAACGTGATAAAGTATAGTCTTACCTAGCGCCAGGAGGCGGTTATGCCGGAACAACCAGACGACCCAAAACAACACACGAGCCTCTTATCACTGTACAATGGCGTCACACATCATGATAAAACAACCACGTGAGATAAACTGATTGAAATATAAATATATATAAAATATATAACTCTATCTTTCACGCACTTGAGACACAGAGCCTCAGATCAAGGGAATGTATCTTAGAAACGCGAGGCTTTCGAGACACAGGATACAGGGACTGGAGGCCGGAGTGTGTGTGTATGTATGCGGACACAGGAGGTGACTAGCGAGGCTGCAGAATACGGGGCCGGTTAAGAGGTGCGGTTATCAGCGGCTCACAGACCTTATACCTACATACCGTTTTCTCTAGCTATATGTCTGCAGCACTCATTGTCGCGATGTCTGTCTGTCTGTCTGTCTGTCTGTCTGTCTGTCTGTCTGCTTTCAGTGTCGTTGTCACTGTCACTGTTTCTCTGTTGTTGTCTGTCTCTTATTATTATTTTAGTTCTCTGTATTATCAGTTATTGCGTTTTTCCAAGATTCAGTCTCTTATCTCACTTTGTGTCTTATCTCTGTCTGTCTGTCTGTCATCACTCTCCTTCTTTCCTCCGTCCCAGCAACCCCGTCTCCCTCAGGTAACACCCAGCTGACAACAGGTAAGTACACTTGCTTATCCGCCGGCCTGTGTGTGGGTAAACACAACACGTGAGTTCAAACATCCGCACACACACACACACACACACACACACACACACACACACACACACACACACACACACACACACACACACACACACACACACACACACACACACACACACACACACACACACGTCTCATTATAATATGATAAATTCTTTATGATTATATTTCAGGTGTTCTGCTCCTAGCTATCCAGATGTCACATAAAACTAAGCTATTTACATCTTTTGAGGTTGTAACGTTACGATTATGTTACGTTGTTGGGTAGATTAGATACACAGTGCTTAGAGAGTTTCATATATATTTAGTAGTCTTGATTACAGTAGTCGGTTGTTAGCATTATCGTGAACGTTGATACGGAGCTTCGAGCAGAGCAAGGAGCTGAGTGAGAGGCCGGAGTCCCGGAGCTCAATGCGGGAGAGCGTGGCGGCTCGACTGGAAATCGTGAGTGTCTAAACTCGATGAGGAGCGAGAGCGTTGTATCTCGATGTGGTCGTAATCTGTTGTCTGCTCTGTGTCGAAGCTGTATTGTCTTGGGGTCAATTAGAACTGCATACGCAGAGTGCTACATTCTTGTGGTTGAAGAGGTGAGGTAAATCCAGAGCGTCTGTATTGGAGTTATTTGACTCACTGTGGAAATTGTACCCCTTGGCTGTCCGCCTATCGCTTGCTTATATTTGGTGACTACACCTCAGCTTCGTTGACCAGACCACACACTAGAAGGTGAAGGGACGACGACGTTTCGGTCCGTCCTGGACCATTCTCAAGTCTCAAGTCCATTCTCACAATCGACTTGAGAATGGTCCAGGACGGACCGAAACGTCGTCGTCCCTTCACCTTCTAGTGTGTGGTCTGGTCAACATACTTCAGCCACGTTATTGTGACTCATCGCCTGCACCTCAGCTTCCTCCAACAGGATGCAAAGAGTGTTACCTGTAATTAGGGAAAGGATTTGAGTAGTCATAATTTGTTCTGATTAGGTTTGTCATTAAGGTAATGAGAGATTGGAGCGAGTATAAGGTTTACTGGCAAGAAGGTCATGCAGGTAGGACTGACGATGATGTTAATCTCCACACTGGGGATCTGTAGCAGCAAAAAGGTTAAGAACCTCTGGATTAGAGGGAGACTTGAGAGGAGGATTGACCAAGAGGTGAGTGGGTTATGAGAGGGGGTATGTGGGTATCGGGGTGATAGGGGGCATGCTTGGAATGTGGGTGGAGGGAACTATCAGGAGAAGTGCCAAGCCATTACGAAGTCGGAGGAAGGGTAGGAACATGTGGGTGTGGGATGGCGAGAATTGTGGGTGTGGGGTGGCGGGGAATGTTGTCCTCACCTAGTTGTGCTTGCGGGGGTTGAGCTCTGGCTCTTTGGTCCCGCCTCTCAACTGTCAATCAACTGGTGTACAGATTCCTGAGCCTACTGGGCTCTATCATATCTACATTTGAAACTGTGTATGGAGTCAGCCTCCACCACATCACTGCCTAATGCATTCCATTTGTTAACTACTCTGACACTGAAAACATTCTTCCTAACGTCTCTGTGGCTCATCTGGGTACTAAGTTTCCACCTGTGTCCCCTTGTTCGTGTCCCTCCCGTGCTGAAGAGTTTGTCTTTGTCCACCCTGTCAATTCCCCTGAGAATTTTGCAGGTGGTTATCATGTCTCCCCTTACTCTTCTGTTTTCCAGGGATGTGAGGTTCAGCTCCTTTAGCCTTTCCCCGTAGCTCATCCCTCTCAGTTCCGGGACGAGCCTGGTGGCATACCGCTGAATCTTCTCTAACTTTGTCTTGTGTTTAACTAGGAATGGACTCCAGGCTGGAGCTGCATATTCCAGGATTGGTCTGACATAAGTGGTATACAGGGTTCTGAACGATTCCTTACACAAGTTTCTAAAGGCAGTTCTTATGTTGGCCAACCTAGCATATGCCGCTGATGATATCCTTTTGATGTGGGCCACTGGGGACAGGTTCGGTGTGATATCCTGTGTGTGTGTGTGTGTGTGTGTGTGTGTGTGTGTGTGTGTGTGTGTTTTCACCTAGTTGTTTTCACCTAGTTGTGTTTGCGGGGGTTGAGCTTTGCTCTTTCGGCCCGCCTCTCAACTGTTAATCAACT